TAAACGTAGTGTATTGAATTACTTTACTTTCTTTCGGTACTTCAGTTTCAATGACACCCCGCCAAATGACTGAAATTATTTGTGTAGTATCGTCAGTTTTAAATTATTAGTTTCTTATCAAAATCATTCTAAATTGAAAGGACAATCTCATTTCCAACTTTTTGTATTTGTCAGAGTCTAACAGAGCCTATAGTAAACTACCGTATTACTAAACATTAACAAAGTTGTATCCCATAGACGGTAAATAAACGTATTGAGCATTTAATTGTTTTTAACACTTTATACTTAAGAACCCATAGCAGATCAAGCGCCCCTCGATAGAATTTGCTACAGGCCCCGCGCTTGCTTAATCCGGAACTGTTACGTGTACAGTGATAAACAAACAATGAAGAAAGTTCAAAAATACTAATGAAATGGGAAATGCAGAAGTGACACGTTGAAATGAAAGAAAATGAAGGATAATTTTACACATTCTATGAAATACTACGAATCCAACTGAAATAGTTTCTTGATAATACGAGAGTAAGATTGGATACAATAATGCAGGTCATGCTAGAGTAATTATTCATCCTTTAATATGAAATTCCGAAGAGAACGCCATTACAACGCGTGTGATTAGACTGAACTAGTTTGATATGCCTGCTTGGTTTGCCGCGAGTGGTACTCACTGCAAAGACCTGTATTATGTACAAGGTATAATGCGAGTCGCCCGAGCGACTTGTCCATTATGTACACTCAATAACATGACGTTCATATATTTGGAACGCCGCGCCGCGCCGCGCTGAGTTCGCACCGCGCGCGCCCGCGTTTGCAGTCTGAACAAATCGCTGGTTAAAACCGAATCCTAGATGAAGTGCGACACAGTGCAAGGGAAACTCTTATTTCAATGTGTAGAGGAATATTAATAAGAAAAAGAATTTTAAAGTATATTGGAAGACAACTATTAATATCAAGAATATCTGAGATATTTCAGACGGCTCGTATAAGCAGACAGACATTTGTATGTAATAGAACTCCAACAAAATAAAATTAGTTGGAAATTAACAATGACTTATCAATGCAATACCTATCTAATTTAATATATCAGTAATTGAATATTTTAACAGTGATGGAGTCCTTTAGTATTTAACAAGCAATAATCAAGTTCCTTTAATCTTTTACGTTTGTTTATCCAAGTGCAATTGATCATAATCACTAAAACTTGACTAGGTTCGTTTCGATTATCGAATAAAAAAATCTTTGCACTTTTTAAGAAATAAATTAATCTAAGCCTGCGCGGTCTACAACCTACCTAGTTTTTTTTATTTCAACGATAAATTTACGCATATGTAAAAATGTACTTAGAACATGCATCGAAATACTGTATGTAAAACGGTGCGTTATTAACTATCATATAGTGCGAATAACTATCCATATTGACATATTAGTTTCAAAAAGAGATGAAACCTTACGGTGAAAAGCAAGCTCCATGCATACAATTGATCTTTTATTAACTTCACATTTAGAAGTACTAACGGGTCCTATTCAGAAGACCTAATTTGAAATTTTAACAAAGAAGAAGAAACATGTCAATTTTATTTACATCGGAATGAAATCAGCCGGTTAGTGGAAGCCTTAAGAGAAGTCTGTTTTAGAGATGTTTTGGGTGTGTTCCGAAATAGAACCCAGTATACTGGCCAATGCAAATGACGTCATAAATCGCCGCCATACTAGTGAGACTTTTGCGCCATATTGGAAAAGTGTTGGCGATTATTTTATGTCATTTTGTGCTTCAAAAGTTATTATATTCTGTTTCAATTAATTTGTGAAGAATGGAGATACCAGCAATAATTCTATAACTTTTTGTATTTGTATAAATAAAAACGAATTCTGGCATGCTTCATTCAGCGTACACACAATTAAAAATTGTTTTAATATGGCGGGATATCCGACATAATATGGCGGCGGCACGCCAGTACAATATGGCGTCAATTAACGACGTCATTTGCATTCACCAGTATACTGGGAACATTTTGGAACACAGCCTTTATCTCACGAAGGAGGGCCTTACTCTGCTGCTTAGCAAATACAATAATTATTTTCTTAAATCTTCCTATTTCATATATTTTTTGACTTGTGCTTACATATACTATAACAATGTACATATAGACCTACACTACAAGCAAAGAACTTTTCTCTACATACAGCTTCTAACGCGTACGGCTAGAACGACCCAAGCGGCCATACACCCGCTTGGGATACGCGATTATAGTTCTGTTTTCCACAACACTGTATTGTTTTTGAAGTTTTTAGTGTTTTTTGAGTTATAAATCGCATGTTATCCATTTCGCATCACGCTTAACTTCATAGCGATATACCACTGTTAGATTTTACGCTGTGCTACAAGACCAAGCCGCCATCAAAATTGAGTTATAAGCGGCAACTGTGAGAAATGCCAAAAAATCTTGCGGCATATTATAGATGGGGTAGACGAAAATACACAGCAGCGTCAAAGGTATTGCGATTGCCAATCCACCTCCGTTTTGCAGTGGGCTTTTACAACTGTAGGAAGGCATATCTTGGGTACGGTTTATTCCGAGGTGAATAAAGATCAATTTGAATAAATCTACCTTTACGGATTTCTCGCGTTTAATTTAAGACGTGGCGTGTAGTGGCGGTGTAAAAATATCCACTACCCCATATCGTGACGTGGGTGTCGCAAGAGACGACGGACGGAAACTGATCCAAGTGATGGACAGCAGCATCTTCCTGATGACAACTCAAAATAATAAAACTGTGGTTGATAACCTGAGCGTGTCAACTATGGCCAAACCCCTATGAGGCAATCTATGGGGGAGGCCATGTTCAGCAGTGGACTTTTATAGACTGTTATGGATGGATGTATGAATTTAAGAGCTTCGCACTTCACAGTCCCATTAGCACCGTAGTAAGGTCTGTGTATAGAAATAACGACAGTAGAATCTGAGATATTTCAGACGGCTTGTATAAGCAGGCAGACATTTTTAAGAACTCCCAACAAAATATATAAATTGGTTGGAAATTAACAAAGACACTTAACAACCCCGTATCTAATATTATATAACATCGGGAAAGCATTTAATATGCGTTAGTGGAAGCCTTAAGAGAAGTCTGTTTTAGAGATGTTTTGGGTTTGTTCCGAAATAGAACCCAGTATACTGACCAATGCAAATGACGTCATAAATCGCCGCCATACTGGTGAGACTTTTGCGCCATATTAGAAAAGTGTTGGCGATTATTTTATGTAATTTTGTGCTTCAAAGTTATTATATCCTGTTTCAATTAATTAACCAACCAAGTTCCCTTAATCTTGTACATAATAGTTTTACTTTTCCAAGTAAAATTGATCAAAACCTCTAAAAATAGCCTAGTTTCACTTTAATCATCGAATAATATATAATTAGCTCGAAGATATCTTGGGTATGGTTTCATTCCGACGTGAATAAAGATCAATTCGAAAAAATCTACTTTTACGGATTTTATCGCGTTTAATTTAAGGCGTTTCGAGTGCTTCGCAGTCCCATTATCACGTGGGGAGCGGAGGGGGGGGAGGTCTGACCGTTGTCATGGGTACAGGAAATAACTCGAAACGTCGTATATAAAATGTGATAAAATCAGTAAAAGTTATTTTATTAGTAAGATATTGTGTAAAGATCAATTTTCCATTTTGCTTGTTAAGGTGAACAGACTGGAACAAAACATTTTAATGGTTGTGTTCCATTTCTGTCACAACTTTCGCCGTTTTTCCTCTAATTTGATTTTTCTTATTCTATTTTGAACCAATCGTGATTATCATGGATATACTGCCCTATATATTTTTTTAATTAGATTAGCTACATTATCTAATACATCCAAATACTCAAGGTTAGTTACATTTCGATTAATAAAACGTATTTTAAACATATTCATAATTTAAAACTGTTCTATGTTAATTATTTAAAAAAAGATATCTGTATAAATATGATAGCTAAATAAAAACCTAATATTACTTTGATATATTTACTTTTAAAGTATTGAGGACAACCTACACTTTTAAACATGTATATGTCAAAATACGGTATATAATATACATGTTTAAAAGTAGTACAGTACTTTTTTATTAAAAGCGGAATGAACAATCAATTAAAATGCGTTCTTTTTAATATAATCATAACCTATTCGACAGAGAAACTTAAGTCGTTTACAAAAACATATTGTGTATAGTTAGACTATATTATAACATGGTAATAAAGAGAACTACTATTCTATACTAATCATGCCCTACGAACCTTATTACTTAGTTTGATTTATTTAATAAAATCACTAGAAATTTAGCCTCGATGACTGCCAAATACACAGCCAGTAGCACCTTATATCGGCGAAAAACGCACGAATATTCCAAATGGCAATAGCTACGCCAAAGCCAAAATACACACCCGATGTTACAATTCTCACACCCAAATTTACGTATCGTATATTAATAAGAAGGTATAAATGGAAGATGTGATTCGAAATTTGAAAAATGCCGCTGAGATAGTTTTTATTACTTTCAGTTTGAAAAGCAATCACTAATTCATATCTACATGAAACTTTTCGAACGATTTTGTAGAATTTTTGTCAGAGAATATACAGTACCCGGCGATAAATATTGCACATCGACCTTTGAAAAGAGACAATCGGCTAATTTCCGCTTCGTAGAGCGTTATCTCTATTGCACACTGACTGAAGGACTGTTTGTATTTCGTGCGACAGAGATAACGCTCTACGAAACCGAAATTAGCTGATTGTCTCTTTCCAAAGGTCGATGTCCAATATTTATCGCCGGGTATTGTACAACTGTATGGCAAAAGGAAGTCTCCATTAGTCTGATTTCAATGTAGCTGCACTTACAACCTCGTGCAATAATTTAATCATCATAATAAATAACGGAGGCAAGTAAGTAGCAGTGAAGACGGCGCGCACGTTGCGCGAGGTGAGTGCTATAAGTCGGTCTCAGTCCACTGCTAATCCCCTCGATGCAATCGTCGCGCCGCTGCGGTATTTCGTCGGTACAACCACACCTGAAAAAATGTAAGTTATAAATAATAATAATATGATGATGAATTCAATTTGTCTGAGCATCTATTCTGCCTAGGATTATTTGTACGTGGTAGAGCAATGCTGCAGTTTATTAGTAGTATGGTTGTAGCACGAATGGGTCGGCTCGACCGGGTAAGAACCACACTCTCACAGAATACCAGCGTCAAATAGTAGCTTAATACTGCTGTGTTTCGTATGGTGAGTGTAGAGAACCGGAGACCCTTTTTACTGGAAACGAGGCATTCCACCTTAGTCCTCACGGGTGACAACGCATCTGCATTTTGATTCGTAATCGCGGATAAATGTAGATGTCTATGGGCCACAGCAACCACTTACCATCAGGTGGACTGTATGCTCGTTTGTAATCCTATTCTATATAAAAAAAAGGATTCCCTGCTAGTTGATATAACCTAAAAAGTAATTTCTTCAGACAATAATTAGTGTATTCTGTGTTGTGCTAAAATAAAAAAAACGCATATAGACCTTTCATTATATGACATTAAATAAGCTGAACATTACACATAGCATAGCAACATTATATAGAACATAATATTTAATTGCCTTTATTTGAGTAGAGTTGGTGTTAAGATGAAATTATAACATGCTTTCATGTGCAACGAACCTTACTGTCAGGTAAATTCCACCAGATGATTCAGCCATAAAAGCAGTCTAGGTATAGAATGTTAAGGAAATAAAATTAACAAGTACATGTAAATTCTAAATGTGGTTTCTATTATGTAGGTCTTGATGATTACTGTTCTATACTTCAATGAATACTAAGAAAACATCATGAGGATAAGAAAAATTTGGATTTCAACTTTAACGAATCAACCACTGGACCCGACATAAAACACAAATGTATGAAAACTCGTTCAACCAAGTAGAGAATAACATACACAAAGATTTTATTACGTTAATAAACACAGATACGAAATTCGTAGAAGTTCACTCTATTTCTAGTGCTTGAACGTAGTCGATGAAATATATCGATGAACGACTGAGAAAGCAAAGGCATATCGTAAATAAGCTGTAAGAGAAAGGAAATAAAGATAATGAAGGTGAGGTAAGCTTCCGGTATTTAAATTGCATTTTTCCATTCCATTTCCAATTCCATTAGCAGGACATTGTTATGGACTTTTTATTCAATTAGTTATATGTCAAATTTTTTGTTAAGTTTAAATTATTCAAATAGGTTTACTGACTTTTATTATGTATAATCTTCCTTAAAATGTGTTTCTTAGAATTTGTTTTGTTCGCTTGTTTTCTTATATATGCAATTATAATATTTAAATACTTTCAGCAACGGCTTTCGTTAATTCTTCAATGTGGTTCACGTCGTCATTTTCAAATTTATGGAAATTAATGTCTTCATGCAACGGAAGTTGCAGCAATGTTTCTGTTACTTTCGGCAGGAGAAAGTCTGTTGTGTAATCTTTTTGTAGTCTTTTATTCTGAATAACCTTCCTAAGTTCGAGTTCGCAGTGCTGACAAATAACTATTGTATCACTTGACGGAAGTATCAGTTTTCCCTTGTCTTTATGGGCAATGAGACTGCCTTCATTGGTGTCATTTTCTGTTTCTTTGCATTAGTGTTAAAACAGGCAATATCAAAATGTACACTGCATATGGCGCTGTGTTTCGTCGGAATCCATGTTTCATCTCTACGAACTGCTTCTACCCACTTTCTTTTCCGAGAAGGGTCACTAGGAAATCTGAAAATTCGTGTAATTTATGTGTTTAAATATTTTAAGTACAGATACTAATTATAATTTTTGCATTGATAATATTTTTATTTAATTATAAAAATTACTATTATAAATTTAATGACATCAGGTTGTAGGACACTGTTATATAGTATTTTTAAGTGTTATTGTATTGTACAAATAACATCACCATTCATTCGATCATATCGTTAAATATCGATATATTTTTCGACATGGTCAAGCACCAGTCGATGTCAAATTGACTCACTCCACAATTTTAGTCATTTGTTCTGAATGGTATAATCCACCCATTTTGTGATGGTTGTCAGATGTCAACAATACATAGAAATATCGACTATATTTATTTAACATAGTTGTATAATACAAAATTTTATTTTACATTTGATCAAATTTTGTGATAAATAACTATAAATGTAATAAAATAGTGTACTTACAAGTGAAAAGAAATAGTGCTGCTTCCGCCGCTATAGTTTTTACATCATTTAACTGAGCATTTAGTAATTTTTGGGAGATGTTTTGTTGACAAGTAAGTGCTTGAGACTGACGCAAAAACAAACGACCAAGGCTAGAATTTCCTGGTTACTGTCAAGACCGGTATAGGTAAGTCTGCTTATATGTCGGGTCCAGTCGTTAATTCGTTCAAGGATTTCAAGATGAGAAGATTCTCATTTCGCACTATTGTGAGGTGAACCTACTTCTCCAACATGCTTTCGGATAAGAGACCTTTGCCCAGCAATATAAAGATCAAACATTTTAAGTAAGAATCAGTATTTTATTTAGTAACTTACTTGGAATAGGATAATGATATCTAAGGAGACTTGAAGGCTGCCACACACCCAGAATTGTGTTGGTGCTTCTCTTATTACAAAATATGCAGTCTTGAACATGTCACCGAATGTCCACATTATCACCATACAAACACTGAAAAGGGAGAAAAAAAATATATGTAGCTAAGTTTTCAGTTGACAAACATTAAAAACTTTTTGTCATTTTCTGAAGTGAGCTGAGCTACGCAGTAAACGTGTTAAAAGAACCAGTCACGTAATGTCAAAATAAAAAAAGAATTCAAAAATATTTTGCAAGTATCATATTTTTACTAGCTTTTTCCTGCGACACCATCATGCCAACACGCATGAGATAGAAACGCCTTTTCCTTTTCCTTTCCAGCATATAACAGTATCTTCTATACTCATTGAATTTTGAGATGATCTATGATAATCTCTAAGATACACATACATACATACATACATACACACTCACTCACTCACTCACTTACGCACGCACGCACTCATACCCATACCCTAACATATTCAGTAGCACTATGTGATTCTAGAGCCGTGGTAGCTCAGTGGTTAACGCTCGCTATAAATATAACAGAACGCGAGTAACCCGGGTTCGATCCCCGCCGGCACCAATGAAATTGTTAATTGCAATTTTAAGTGCTGATTTACCACGTGCTCGGCGGTGAAGGAAAACATCGTGAGGAAACCTGCATGTCTGAGGAATAAGAAAAAAAATTTCGAAGACATGTGAAGTTCGTCAACACGCATTTGAGCAGCGCGGCGGACACTTCCTTGCCCTAAAACCCTCTCAGAAATGAGGGGAGGCCTGAGCCCAGCAGTGGGACATATATAGGCTGTAACTTTACTTTACTTTTTTTACTTTATGTGATTCTATGAGATTGCATAGAATCACATAGTGCTACTGAATATGTTAAGGTATATTACAACAGGATTAGACAGGGTTCTTATAGTTGAATGAATCACTTCTCTCAACTTTTACTTAATTAAAAATATACTTTGAGTAACATTTTTTAATTTTAATAATGGTAATTATAGATAGAAAATTTCTATAATATATATAATAAGTACCTCATCCCTTCTGTACTTTTATTCCGACAATTTTTGACTAGCTGTGGTGCCCCAAGCATTGCTTCAGTGAACATGGCGAGGAAGCCGATGAGTTCCACAAAGGGGGAAACCTCTATTAGTAGGTATGTGATTGCTGCACCAAGTACAGAGAACACTAGCATACAGTCTAGGTAGCTTTGGAAGTCAGTCCACGCCCAGAAATATTTACGGTCCATATCTGTAATAATAATTAGTGTAATAGAGTGTGCAGCTTGTTTGACAAAAGATTACAAAAACATTTCCAATGATGATGTAAATAAAGGTCAAATTTTGATAACAAAGCTAAATTATACATCTTATATTCATTTTCAATCATTTTGAATGAATATTTTAATTTACATATGATAAAAATAAATTGGTACTAACATTTGAATTAAAATAGTAAGTTTTAAAAATGCAAACATAATCATTATTCATAATTGAGGTATTAATTAAGTATACATAACATATGATTATTAAGTGCATCAGTGGTAGAACCTCGCGGCAGCTTTAGCTGTCGCCCCTTAAAATGGTAGCGGAATTAAGTGAAGAACCACCCCAGGAGGGTTTCTCCGTCACCAGGGGTGTACCAACACCCCTGGTGACGGAGAATCCCTCGCTGAGCATCCACGACAAAATTATCCTACTCTTCCAATCCCATCCGCAGAGATCGTGATTCTTGGCGATTTTACCGCCCACCACGCCGAATAGCTCCGTTCACGTTTAACCGATCATGCGGGGAGATCTGTTTATGACTTTGCTTTGGCATATGGTTTGACACAACTGGTTACTGCGCCTACGCGGATTCCAGATGTATCATAAACCTTACCTGTTGGACATTCTGCTGACGGATATCAGGTTTCCAACGACGCTCCTTTAGGCTCGTCGGACCATTGTCTTGTCCGTAGCGTGGTGGCCGTTACATTAACGTCGCGGTTGCATTCTGCAGGCTGCCGCCGTGTTTGGCACTATAGGTCGGCCGATTGGGATGGGATGCGGTCTTTTTTTGCATCCTACCCTTGGGGGCGGGTTTGCTTCTCGCCGGAAGATCATAGCGTTGTTGCTGATTCTGTCGCTGTTGTGGTACTTCTGGATGTGGAACTTTTTATTCCGTCCTTTGTGGTGCCCATCGGAGGCAGATCCCAGCCATGGTTTGGTCGCTCCTGTAAAATAGCATCACGCTATAAGCAGGAGTGCTACCGAGCTTGGGCTGACGCATCAACGTCTCGGGATGTAAACACCAGCGCTCTTAAAAAGAAGTATAATTCCACCTCCAGGTCCTTCAAGAGTCATTGCCAAGGCAAGGTCAAGGAGCACATCAGCAGAATTGGCGAGAAGCTAGTCGCGCCTTCCTTCGGGAACCCGTGCATTCTGGTCTCCCGCCAAGGCTGTCCAAGGCAACTTCCGTCAGTCATCTCTTCCATCTCTGCACAGAGAGTACGACTCACTGGCCCATACCGCAAAGGAGAGAGCCGATCTGTTAGGCTCTCTCTTTGCATCCAACTCGACTCTCGATGACGGGGGGGAACACACCACCGACCATCACGCGCATGCCGGATATACGGTTTACACAGCGTGCGGTTCGCAAAGCACTCTTCTCCCTGGACGTCAATAAGTCGAGTGAGTCTGATGGAATCCGTGTGTGCTTCGGAGTTGGCACCCGTTTAACACGTCTTTTCCGGTACTCTTACTCCCAAGGCTTAGTCCCGAATTCTTGGAAGACAGCTTTGGTCCACCCGACCTCTAAAAAAAGCTACCGCTCAGACCCGTCCAACTACAGACCTATCGCCATCACCTCTTTGTTCTCCAAAATAATGGAGTCTATTGTAAACTGCCAGCTTATGAGGTATCTTAAGGAGCACCAGCTAATCAGTGACCGCCAATACGGTTTCCGTCGTGGTCGATTAGCTGTTGATCTTCTGGTCTACCTGACTCTGGATGGGTGGAGGCAGTAGAGTCCAAGGTATTGACCGTTAGTTTGGACATAGCGAAGGCCTTCGATCGGGTCTGGCAGAAAGCGCTTCTTTAGAAGCCCCCTTCCTATGGACTAATCCAGAAATTGTGCGATTGGATCACTAGTTTTCTTGCTAATCGGAGCATCAAAGTCGTAGTAGACGGTGCAAGCTCTGATTACGAGCCTACCCTGGTGTTCCACAAGGCTGCTTGCTATCATCAACGCTGTTTCTTCTGCATATCAATGATATGTTGCAAACTAATAACATTCATTGCTATGCACTGGAGGTGAGAAATATTGGCACCAGCCGTGCCAATATTTCTCGAAAAATCGTCGCCGAGTACCGGGACAAATTGTGTCTGAAGTCGAGTCTTTGCTTAACAAAGTCGCGGATTGGGGGAGACTAAATCTAGTCTAATTCAATCCCCTGAAGACACAAGTTTGCAAGTTATAACCTTTTTTTTCGAGTTTTCTTCCTCGTGCAACTTTTTTGTGGAATTGTTTACCTCCGGCGACTTTTCCGGACCGATACGACTTAGGGACCTTCAAGAAAAGAGCTGTCATTTCTAAAAGGCCCGCAAAATATCTGTAATTCCCTTGGTGTTACGGTTGTTCATGGGCGGCGGTAGTCACTTACCATCAGGTGACCCGCATGCTCGTTTGCCCCCTCTTCTATATAAAAAAATATTACTAATATTTTAATATTCATCATCATCATCATCATTACAGCCCTTCACAAGTCCACTGCTGAACATAGGCCTCCCCCAAGTAACGCCACAAAGCACGGTCCTGAGCCACCTGCATCCATCGACTTCCTGCATGTCTTACCAGGTCGTAACTCCATCTAGTGGGGGGTCGCCCTACACTACGCCTACCGGTACGAGGCTGCCACTCGAGAACCTTTCTTCCCCATCGGTTATCGGTTCTTCGAGCTATATGGCCGGCCCATTGCCACTTCAGCTTACTAATCCGTTGGGCTATGTCGGTCACTCTGGTTTTACTGCGGATATCCTCATTTCTGAGTCTATCACGCAGTGAAACTCCGAGCATAGCTCTCTCCATAGCTCGCTGAGCGACCTTGAGCGTCCTCATACGGCCAGCGGTGAAGGACCACGTCTCAGATCCGTAAATCATCACTGGCAACACGCACTGGTTATACACTTTAGTTTTCAGAGATTGAGGTATACCTGACGAGAAGATGTGTCGTAATTTCTCGAACGCTGCCCAGCCGAGTTGAATCCGTCGATTGACCTCTCGGTCGAAGTTGGACTTTCCTAGTCGGACTATTTGTCCCAGGTAAACGTACTCGTCAACAACTTCGAGCATAGTGCTCCCAACAATTACCGGCATAGGTGTGACATGGACATTAAACATGATCTTTGTTTTGTCCATGTTCATCTTAAGACCTATCCGTTGGGAGGCACTATTGAGGTCATTGAGCATAGTGCTAAAGTCCTCCAGCGATTCTGCCATAAGGACTATATCGTCGGCAAATCGAAGGTGAGTGATGTACTCGCCATTGATGTTAATACCGTATCCTTTCCAGTCCAGTAGCTTGAAAACGTCTTCCAACGCAGCGGTGAAGAGTTTCGGGGATATAACATCACCCTAACCTCTCTGCGTTATGGTTTCGTACTCTGGTTCTGTACTCGGATAGCCATCGTAGCCCAACTGTACAAACACTTCAGCACTTCAATATACCGACAGTCAACTAGGCACCGCTGAAGAGACTGTAGCACCGCCCAAATTTCGACGGAATCAAAGGCTTTCTCATAGTCCACATACGCCAGGCAAAGTGGCAGATTGTACTCTTCGGACTTCTGTACAATTTGCCGAAGGGTGTGTATGTGGTCTATGGTACTGAAGCCTTTTCGGAAACCGGCTTGTTCGGGAGGCTGGAAGTCGTCGAGTCTGCGTGCGAGACGATTCGTAATGACTCTCGAAAACAGCACGTAGACGCGGCTCAGAAGGGAAACCGGTCTGTAGTTCTTCAAGAGAGCCTTGTCGCCTTTCTTAAAGAACAAGACCACCGCGCTTCTGCTCCACGCCTCCGGAGTAGTGCCACCATGTAGGACGGAATTGAAGAGCTTCTGAAGGACTTCAAGTACCGGTGTTCCACCCGCTTTCAGGAGCTCCGCTGTAATTTAATCCTCGCCCGGGACCTTGCCGTTTTTAAGGTGGTGGAGAGCCATTCTAATCTCGCTCAGACTGACGTCCGGGATATCATCGGAATATTGTCGGATAGGACTTGCTCTTGGATCGATACTCACACTTGCGTGTGGCTCCAACGATGATGTGTACAGCTGCCCATAGAACCTCACAATCTCACTCAGAATCTCAGGTGTCCCGGAAACGATGTTGCCACACTCAGTCTTCAGCCTTGACAGTTGGCTCTTTCTCGCAGACAGATCTCTGGCAAAGACTTTGGAGCCCTGGTTCCGCTCGATCGCTTCTTTAATACGAGCAGTATTAAAGTTGCGTAAGTCTTGCCGCATGCATTTGGAGATCTGTCTGTTCAGTTGCCTGTATGCTGTCAAATCTGTTGACGATTGTAGCCTCATCTCCCGTCTAACAGCCATGAGATTAAGAGTGTGATCGGAGAGTTTTTGTGTTCTTCTGCGGCGGGTCTTGCAGAACTTAGCTCCGACCGCATGGACAGTTTCCACGAGCTTGTCATTCATATCGTCCACTGCATTGCAATCCTCTAGGCACTGAAAGCGGTTTTGTAACTCGAGCTGAAAGGTTTCGGGATTCTGGATTAGAGCACGAGGGGGACGGAGCGTTGACTTCATTAAACGAGACCTCTCCAACTTAACGTTTAGGTTCAGTGTGCCTCTAACCATTCGGTGATCGCTGCCAGTTTTCACCCTTGCGATCACTGAGACATCACTGAACAGTTGGCGTCTGGTCGTCATAATGAAGTCAATCTCATTTTTTGTCGAACCGTCGGGGCTCGACCAGGTCCACTTCCTGTGGGGCCGCTTCTGGAAGAAAGAGTTCATCATAAAGAGTCCCTCTTTCTCCATAAAGTCGGCCAGCTGCTGGCCCCTTCGGTTCCGTTTCCCTACTCCAAATTTCCCCACCTTCAGCTTACCGCTTTCTCTTGTGCCCAGTTTTGCGTTGAAGTCTCCCATCAACACCGTGTAGTGGGTTTTGGAGGAATGCACGGCTCTGGAAATATCCTCATACATTTCCTCCACCTCCTCATCGGGATGTGCCGAGGTTGGTGCGTAAAAACCTGTATGACCTTCAGCGAATACCGTTTGGTGATTCTGAGTATCAGGTACGCGACCCTCGTCGACACACTCCCAATCTTTACAACGTTGTTGACTAGAGACTTGTGGACGATAAATCTGACACCTCCTTGGGACAGATGGTCGCCCTCCCAGTGATAGAACAAGTTGCCGGACTCGAGGATTTGCCGTATCCTCCCCCTCTCTTCGGACCTCGGATAATCCAATAATATGCCAGCGCAACTTGTCTACCTCTTCTTCCAGCTCCAGTATCTTCTCGTCAGTCCTCAGGGTGCGTGCGTTATATGTTGCCAGGTCGAGACGTCGTAGGTGGCAACCGAACCTCCACCGGAGATTCTTAGCACCCCCTGCCCCGCCGTTACCATGGTCGCCACCGTAGCCAGGAATAGCGGGGCCGCCGGGGACTGGGGGCCGTTTTTTTTGCGTCGTTATTCATGGGGGGATATTTGCCATAGTTGCCACGCTTGGCGAGCGGGTTGGCAACCGCAGTTTTTTATTATAACACAGTTGTTATCAGGAAGATGCTGCTGCCCATCTCCTGCCTGTTTCCCTCTGTCGCCTCTTACGACACCCACGGGAAGATATGGGGTAGTGGATATTCTCAACCGCCACTACACGGCATTTTAATATTATATATATATATATATATATATATATATATATATATATATATATATATATATATGAATAAATATTTCAGCATTGTAACTATTGATTCATTTGATGAGTTTAAATATGTAACAGAATTTTACTGAGATAAACTAATAAATGTTATTATCTGTGGAAGCAGGAAGTTTTATACAATGTTGTGACCCATGTGACACATGTGACCCAATCATTGCTTTAATGAGATAGTAGTACAATAAATTGTTCAACTTGATTATAATGTTCAGTTTTGATAACAGGGGCAATGAACCATGCTAGAAATAAAAAGAAATATGATTATACTTAAAGATACTATATATAAATCAAAATCATTTCATTTATTAAGATATTTACCTGATCAAAATTATTAATTGACAGCATATTTCTTTTTATGGAAATTGCAGTCCAACAAAGAAATAGACAGAACACTCGATACATTTCAAATGAGGCAAAACCATGCTCAAATTAATGTAAAAATATATTTAATAACAGAATCTCCACTAGACCAAATTTCAGTCACCATGGCCAGTCTAAAGGTAGACTAGCAAAATGCACAGGAAAGTGCATGATTGTGCACTCATCTCACTCCCATAATATAATGGGATGACTATCCAACAGAGCCAGAGGGAGATCAGGCACAGAACCAACAGCTTTATGTGCTTTCCAAGGCAGAGGAGTGAAACGCTACCAACTTACTGATTCCGGGTTGTTACTGAGAATTTCTTATCAGAAAAAAACCAACACTGATTTTGAGAAGCAAACCCAATAATTGATTTTTATGAATTATTATTATTAGTTTACAAGAGTGCAAAAATACACATATTATTTTTGTAATTAACATGGTTGAGACTTACTTTAAATAAATGTAGTGTTCTATCTTTATTTGTTGGCTTGAGATGGAATTGGACACAAATATGTAATTTGCTATAAAAACATGCAAAGAAACATTACAATGGAATAGAAAAAATATTCTTTGATAAAAATTAAAACAACAACAAAAAGTATTAATTTGTTAAAATCACACACACATCTATTAATGTCAGAAAAAAAATGTGTACTACAGTTATTTTATTTACTTTAAAAATCAAACGGCTACTAATACAAACCATAATAGGTTAATAATTTGTTCAGAAATTAAAATAAAATAAAATATAATTTGTATAAATAATATATAATTGATAAGTATTTAAGACATCTTAAGTAAATTAAGGAGCAATATAAATTTAATAATGAACTGTTGATTAGCTAATATGCACATACAAGTAGGTAATATGAAATCCTATAGTTTTTGATATTAATATATAAAGAGTTATTTAAACATTAGAGCAAATACTTCGTAAGTAACCCTGAACAAATACTTCATAAGTAACCCTCATGAAAGTAAATGGTGACTAACTAATCTCATCAAAGTAAATGATAGTTTATTACTACATATATTTTTTACTTTTCCATACAAACTGTCAAAACACCAAATGTTATAATGTGAAAATTATCATTAGAAAATTGCAATGAACCCACGAGGAAAAAGCAATACAACATAAATGGTTGCAGCAGTAAATTAAAGAAAACCATATGTTATTTTACAAATGTCACAGCATCAATGTGCACCAAGGTGGCTTTTGTGACACTCACCATAGAAGCGGTGCGGCTTCTCCCTTCCCGTAATGCTGCTACGTTGATCCAACCAGCGCGCCGTTTCATCTGGCTGAGCTGATCCATTTACACAACACAATAGTATATATAACATGAATATTGCACCTAATGCCAAACCATCAATTACACCAACCACCAAACAAAACATAAAATAATGTTAAAATATAAAAGAATAAAGTAAAACTAAGGAAAATCAATAACTATGTTAAAAATTGTGGTTGCTAATATCAGTTATAGATGTGAGCAAGATAAAATTTAATAAAAAGATTACACTAATTGCAATTAGTAGATTAAGAATTGTGGTTATTGATATGATGATACCAGTTATAAATATTAAATAGGTAAAAATAAATAAAATTAAAAATAAAGTATTAAATCAATTACAATAAAAATAAAATATTGCATCAAGTATTTTATTAATTTACCAATTTAAGCTCAAGTATAGCAAGTATAAATGTAAATTTATAGCTACAGCATAAAAATAATGGCTAAATAAATACAAACCTGTAAATATTCTCTCTCTTGCTCTGACAATTTGATTTTTTTTACGGACATTGACACAGAGATGGATCATGACAAACATTGTAATATTCATCACTATACTCTGTATCAATAAAGGAATTTCATAACGTTTTCCAAACCTGAAATATTAGATTATTTTTCAGATTGGTATCCTTATATTTATATATTATTGATTTGATGTACTTGCATGCACATACAGTACACATACAGTATGTAATGTGTAAAATAGTCATTTTTTTATTAGTGCAAAATGAGCACACAGTGTATGCTATTGATGATGTATGATTGGTGTGTTAGTCCACTTTTTCACTTACTTTATTTAAAGCGCAGAGGTTCACTGTCAAAGTGCAAACATATTTTAATCACAAATTCCCTGTGCTCAAAATATTTGTCAGAAACTAAAGCAACTAATAAATAAGATATAAAAACAATAATTATTATATTCTTATGTATTCAAGCTGTTAAGTTAAAAAACCTTCTCTGTCGTCCATATTTGCAGGCTAAAGTGGCAATGGGCTGGTCACATTTGTCGCAGAAGCAATAACCGTTGGAGTAGGTGTGTCATAGAGTGGAGACTGCATTGAGGTAAACATAGTGTGGGACGCCCCCTGACTATATGGAGCGATAATCTGTGCAAGGCGGCTGGCAACTGTATGTGTGTAGCCAAAGATCAGGCTAAGTGGTGCGCCTTGAGAGAGGCCTATGTCCAGCAGTGGACTGCCGCAGGCTGATGATAATGATGAAGTTAAAAAAAGACTTAATTTTATGTGATTGAATTGTGAGATTAGGTAGTTCAGAAGTATAAACTGGCAAATATTTTTGGAAGATTTGCCCATATTCATTATGCAGATGTTGGCCAGGGGGGCATGTGGGTGCAGATATACCCCCAGGTGCGTATGTACTCTCCTTACCTGATGAGGCCATACCCTATTAATAAACAACTGTTTGGCCAACTTTGTGTGGTACATTAGTGAACACATGATAAGGCAGCATATTAATTAAAGCATTATCACTGAACAAAGTATATAAGGGTTAATAATCGAAACGATTGAAAAGACGAAAATATTACATACCAAAATAGAATTCGCAATGTGTTGGCTATTAAAAGCGTTAAACAAACATAAAGAGAAAATCCTTCTGCATCTTGAGTTCGCTTGATTTGTCTATATTGTGGAATATAGGGTGCTACACCTCCAATAATCATAGCACCGGCTGCACCCCAGCCAACTAGGTGACCAACGGTCAAACCCAACTCATCTGATATAATCCAATCCATAATTATTTATAAAAAATAATATCGGATTTGAATTTATTTGGTAGATAAAATTATATTTCCATGATCTTATCACATTAAAACACTACTATTTAATTTAAAAATATGTACATTTAGTAAGTACGTAAGTACATTTCTTTATTTAGGTACAATTTAAATAACAAAATATATTACAAACGACTTGAAAGAGAAACAAAATATTTTTTAGGTACCTATAATAGGTACCTATAATACGTATTATAGGTACCTATAATACGTATTACGTGCAAACCAAAGAGTATAGTAATATCACAAACTAACTAGAAGTAATATATACGGAAGGTGCAAACAATAAATTATAAACGTATAACGTAAACCATAGATAAATAGATATGTAGCAATATGTAGCAAATTAAATAGGTGAATGCCATAGATAAATAAATATGTAAATGCATGCAAATGCCATAGATTACTGTAGCAAATGCATTGTGCTCCCCACTCCCCAATCTATGGAGCATTGATTACTGTGTACTCAATAGTGTATAAGGAGCGTAGACAGAGTATGTTCCAAAATAGAACCCAGTGTACTGTCAAATGCAAATGACGTCATGAATCGACGCTATACTGGTGATTCGTTCCAAAACATAGGACAGTATATAACGTCATACATTTGCGACATATTGGAAAAGTGTTGGCGATTATTTTGTCATTTTGTGCTCCAAAAATCTTTATATCCTCCCAATGGTACCAACAATTATTCTATAATTTTTTGTATTTGAATAAATAAAACACAAATTCTGGCATGCTTCATTCAGCGTACACACAATTAAAAATTGTTTTATTATGGCGGGATATCCGACATCATAGGCTATTGAAATTAAAAAAACATCCTAATTTCAATAGAGAAGGAGGCTGGGTACTACCACCTGCTTGGGATCCTATAATCAATAAAATTAAAACTAAACCCAAGCATACCACTGCAAGACCTCAGAACATAGTCAGTTCATTTTGTATAGATCGGACCATAAACAATAATTAAAAAAACTGGAGGTACTCCGGGTTTAACAATGACATCGGGACGTCAGTCACCTCAGTCCCCCGTGACCACGGGTGCTGGAAAGCGCCCGAAACGTCGGGAATTAAAAAAAAATAGTAAAATAAACGCGATAAAATCCGTAAAAGTAGTTTTAATCAATGTGTAGTGTTCGCGTAAATATAAGAAATCATAATGTTAACATTAGTTTAGAGTGAAAAACAAGGCAAAACAACAATTAATATTTTCAATTTACATATTACCTGAAATAAATTAATTCTGAATTTTGAAAAAAAAAAGCACGATCACGTGTTCGCGTGCGCGCACGCGCACGCATGTGTGTGTGTTTGTATGTGTTTGTGTAAATATATATGTGTATTGTGTGAGTGTGAGTGTGTAAGTTCGTATAAATTGTCACATTTCTCGTTCACCAAAACCTATTTCAACATATCAACATAAAAAATATAAAATTAAGTCAATTAGCATATTGCAATAAACATCACTCAACACTCATTAGGTAATCCTTGAATAAATTCAGCGGGATGCATCTTACACCGATTGCTTCCAATTTCCGCACAAGGATCGAAGAAGAAACAGTGTCAAAGACTTTCTTAAGGTCTAAAAATATAGCCAAATATTTACGTCCTTGATATAGTTGTTCAGTTATACGACTTACCGCGTCTAAATCCAAATTGGTTATCTGAAAGAAGATTAAAGCTTTCAAGGTAATTGATAAGTCATTTATTTATTAACTTTTCTATTATTTTAGAAACGGCAGGCAAAACTGAAATGTGCCTGTAGTTATTGACATCATTTATTCCTCCACCCTTGTGCATTGAAATCACTAAAGATTTTTTGAGATACGACGGAAAAATACCCTTTTGGAAGCAGAGATTAGTCAAATGACTTATCACGGGAACTACGAGGGATTTAGAAAACTTGAGAAACTGAGTAGAGATATTGAAATAATACTAGTTTTTACGGAATTTATCGCGTAATTTAACTTTTTAAATACCCGACGTTTCGAACGCTTTACAGCACCCGGTCACGGGCGGGACTGAGATGTTCAACGTCCATATGTCATAGTTAACCGCGGTTACCATAGATTAAAATTTAACTTTTGTTCCGATCTCGGAACGGAGGAGATCCAAAGTCATAGTGTAGATTCAAAGTCATCAATATTTTTGTAATAACTACGAATATTTTTTCCAAGTCCATGAACGCACAAAAAACTTTTTGGTTTTTCGCCAAAAACTTCTCCGCGATCATGCGCATGGAAAAACTTGATCTGTACACCCCATTCCCTTTCTAACATACACATAACATTTTCTTCGAGTTACAAAGTCTTATAATTCGAGATACCGCGTATTTAGGGGTTCAGCGGAAGGTAATGGCAATTTTTTCGACTTACTGAGGATTTCAACTTAACGAGGTTCGTGTTATAGAGATTCCACTGAATATCATAACACGCATATAATTTTTTTAAGTAGAGTTTGTCTATCAGCAACTTAATATTACCAAGTTTTTAAGTTTATATGTGAACTATATAATAATATAATTTTTTTAAATGTTATTTATAATCTTATCTATGGTTTCAAGTAAACTTAGTGATCATATACTCTTCGGTTCTAAGGCGTCCCTCTAAATATTAGTATACTCTTTGGCGCGGTCTAACAAGGAGACATTGACGTCTCCGTATGGAGACGCCGGACTTTTAAGGGTTAATGTTTTGTCAATTAATACAATATTTTAAAAAAATACCAAACTTGATGCGAATTCGTTACTTCAAAATAAACATCGATATTTGAAAATTTGGCGATATATATCTATGTTTTTATAGAAATATCGATATTACGATATTTTTTACCCAAGCTTAGTTTGACTTTGACAATAATCAATAATTTTTATCGGGTTCAAATTAGAGTTTCAGTAATTCAGTATTTTCTAATAAAGTACTCTGTGCTTAGGAGTAATAGTGTTCTGTGGAGGGGAGTTTTGGCGGGAACTTGGCCATCGACGGATTGTCACTCCTGTTTTGTAGCTTGAATAATAGTTTGAAGTAGATTTTGATTCGTAAAAGTGATAAGATTTCGTGAATTAAGTGTCAGCGCCTGTGAAATATTAGAGAAAACGACGAAAGAAGTACTTTGTCGAAAAAAAAAATAGTGCAGTGCAAAAAATGTAAACTGTTTTTATCAATGGCTAAGGACGAGGTATTAAAATGTAAAGGTGGATGTGAAAGTGTGTATCATAAGAAATGTGTGAGAAACTCAAAGCAATTCCTGCAAACCAAAGTATGTGAGGAGTGTTAAAAGTCGAGCTCTAAAATACAATCACGGATCATCGACATAGATCCGCACAACATTACAGTAGAATCACTATTAGTAGAGGTGAACAAGAAATTGAAGGTGATATTCCAGGTCGAAAAAAAACTTGATGAACTTGTGGAGACAGTTGATTTTTATGTTGAGCAGTACCAAGAAATGCTGGAATTCAAAAAGACTGCGGAAAATAAAATAAAAGCGTTAGAACAAAAGAACGTATACCTTCAGAAATGCAATGCTGCATTAGAGGAAAGAGTTGTTAACTTGGAGAAGAAGGAAAAAGAAAAAAATGTTGAAATTGCATGCCTAATGAAGAACAAAGATAATGAAAATATAAAAGAGGTAGTCAAAGATGTTGCCATAAAGCTTAGTTTGAACCCAGAAGACATAGAAAGTGTCGAAAGAAGAAGCTCACCAACCACAACAAAGACGAGGATAGAACGACCAAGCCCAGTTATAGTGAAGCTGCGGTCAAAGCAAGCTCGAGATCAATGGATGCAAAAAAGAAGAGTTCAACTAACCAATGGCGATGTATATGGCAACGACAACAACATGCGTATATACATAAATGAAGATTTAACCAAAGAGACCAGAGTACTATTCTGGGAAGCCAGGAATCAATTAAAGCAATTATATAAATTCATATGGACTCAAAACTCTAATATATTAGTCAAGAAAAGCGAGAAGGAAAAAATTATTCGCATAAGAACAGAAAGCGATATTAAAGTCTTGCGCGAAAAACATAATAAGAACGAAAACTGATTTAAGTCGCTAATCAATAATAACAAAAATTATATGCACCGCGTAACACACTATGTGATTTCAAGAACTTTAAAATTCGATAACCAAGACAGTGAATTGGATTTAAATAACATTGAATACACTAGATATCAGGATATAAACACCTGGTCTCAACAATTCTCAAATAATAATATAAATATAATTCATGTGAACATACGTTCTATACGAAAACAATTCAACCAACTTCTTGCTTTATTATGCCACTGTATAACAAAAAGAACGCTAAATGTCATCATTCTCACAGAAGTAAACATAAAAAGCGAAGAAGTATCACTATATAAGATCCCTGGTTATGTGGTGTATTCTAACACTAGGGAGACAAGAAGAGATGGTGGGATACTCATATTCGTGAGAGATGACTTATATTTTACCACAGAAAAACCACAAATACCAATAAAAGCAACAGAGATAATTCATGGAAAACTAAAAACTGGAAGTAAAACTACACATATATTGGCTATATACAGACCACCAAACTCAAATAAGTTAGTTTTTATCACAGAACTGAATACCATACTGAAAAATATCCCATCCTCAGAAGAAATAATTTTAATTGGAGATACAACATTGATATATCGCAAGGTGCAAATACGATTTTATGTGCCTACAAAAACATGTTGTGTGAAAACGGCCTACAGGATGCAATACCTACGTCAAAGATAACGCGCGAAGCGATCGTGGATGGCCGAGTGAATTCCTCGAATATTGACCACGTGTGCGTGCGGGCGAGCCGCGGACGGCTGCTAGAGGCGTGCGCGCACTTGCTAACTTGTACCGCATCGGATCACTATATGGTTGGAATTAGCGTAAAAATAACTGGTAGTGTATCCAATATTAATAATAATTGTAAATTACAAACCATATTA